AAAAAAAATTGTGAAAACATCAAATAGAAAAGGCCGTGAGTCCGTGACGGGATGCAAGTGGGTTCGTGGATAAACCAAAGAACTTCAAGACGCACGTGAGTGTTTGGGACTTTCGCTTTGGAGTGTACAACGAATGAACGATGCATCCGTTCCATGTGCTCCAGCAAAAAGTTTCTCAATTTTCCTGAGACAGACAGGGGCCAAACATGCAAAGATCTCACATATTTTACTTTTCCATGGAAAAGACTGTTTTGCCCATCATGCTATTAAATACCGATGGATAAGGTAATTTCCCGTTCCGTTCGTTTAGGCATTTAGCACCTCCCAGTCAAGAAGTCAAACTACAGCTACGGCGTTTTTCTATGAAAAAAAAAATAAACCAGAGGCAAAGATATCTTCGCGCTTAAAGTCTAAAACCAGATCTGAATAATTAACCTTGCTGCAATGCTTCGGGTTTACGGTTCACCTGTGATTAACATCACCTTAAACAGTCTAATAAAGTACCTCAATTGGTTAAAAACTTAATTAAGTTAGAAATCTCGGGTTCTAATCTTGAAACAGAGGCAAAGATTAAGGGAAGGGGAGTTTTATCATATAACAACGGTTAGATCGGCCCTGCTCCTCGACGCAGATGATCGCGTAACAGAGATTGTTTACATTTTATGAGTCAATAATCAATCGGAAATGGAGAAAGCTACGGATCAATGGATAAAAAAATTTCGTCCTAAAATTTTGTTCTAAAATTTGGTCTCTAGAATTATTAGTCTTTTAGTCTCTGTTTTGACTATAGAGTAGACCAAATGAAAGATGAAATCACTTACAGATCTGATAAGATCGAGGTCGAGTTCGTCTGGCCTCAGTAGCATATCGGCGCTGGGATTCCTGTAAAACATGAATTCGCGTTCTCCGTCGGCACGCAGCGTAACGAACGCAAGAGCGGTTCTAGCGCCCTTGTCAAAACAGATCCCCTCACCAGAGACTCCGTTTTGCTTGAGGATGTCGGCGAGCATGCAGCCGAACTCGTCATCGCCGAGCTTTCCGACGAAGGCGGAGCGGCCGCCGAGCCTAGTCACAGCAATAGCGACGTTGGCCGGAGCACCGCCGGGAGCCTTGAGGAAGCCAGGTGCCTGCGCCAAGGACACGCCGGAGACGGTCGGAACGAAGTCGATCAGCATCTCGCCGAAGCTGACTATAAGGCTCTTCTCGGAAGCAACGCTGTTTGCAGCCATTATAATGAATAGAGAAGAAAATAGAAGAGAAAAACGAAGTCAAAGAAAGAATGAAAGGAAATAATAGGAATTGGAGAAGGAAGAAGGAAGCAGAGAAGCTGTTTATATAGAGGTAGGCGGACTCTGAAGTCTGAAGTAGGGAGGTATTTTTCATTAATATTATTTAAAAGATATTATTTTTATTAATATTAGAGGAAATTGTGGATTTGTTTATTTATTGACTCCTATTTTTTCTGTAGTTGAATTTTTTTGGTACGTTCAATTTCACGAGATTTTTTTTTTCCATTTGATTTTTTTGGTTTTTATTTTTGGATGGATGTCTTTGAATTGTTTTTTTGGGTGACGTGGAAATTTGGATATTTTTGTTCAATGGTCCAATTTATAAGTTGGAATTAATGTTTTATACAGTAGATTATATTTTTATACGTAGTCTGATTTATAAAATTATTTTAATATTTTTAATAAAATAGTATAAAAAATAATTTTATTAATATTTTTATAAAAAATTTATAAAATAAATATACTTTTAATATATAGTTTGATATGTAAAAATATTTTTTTTATTAAAAAACTGTGAATTATACCATTGGCTAGAGATAAAATATGTAGAGTTCAATTCACAGTATAAGTAGTATTATACAGAAGTAATTTCATAATGAGGAATGATTTGGGATAATTTTTTTATCATATTTTTATACAATTTGACATATCATTTAAATGATTAATTTTTTTAATTCATATGAATTCATGATATTAAATGTATCCACTCATTTAATAATATATAAAAATTGTATAAAAAAATTGTCCCTACAGTACCATCCTTTCATAATCTGATTATAAGTGGATAAGATAGGATGTTTGATTTGGGTTATTTATCCACATTAGGATTGCTCTCCATTACATCCTGCTAGTGCTTGGTTTAGTTAAAATTCTCTTATGGATAGAGTTGTGTATTCTCTAAACGTGTGTCAATTGAGATTTTACTAAAAAAATTATCTACTTATTCGAAATTCCATTTAAAATAGTAGTAGCCAACTTGTAACCCAAGGTAAGGGCGGAATTAGTATTTGATTATTGGGTAGAGTTTATTGTATTTTTATACAATAAGGTCTAAAATTGAAAAGTCTTATATACAATATTATTTTTGTTTTAGTGGATATGGCCTTAAAATTATAAACCCTTACAATTTTAAGAATTTTTCGAAAAAGTAATTGAACCTATACCTAACTTCTCTCCAACATAAATTTGCCCTTAACTTAAGATACTATGACTTTATTAGAATGAGTGTTTCCTTGCACCTCATTAGTTAAGTCTTAATTTGTTAAGAAAGGTTTTTATTTATTTATTTATTTTTTATGTTAGTTGTACAACGAAAGATAATTTTCTCTCATTTTTTATTCTACCTCATTTGTATATTATGTAATTCGAATTTAAAAACTCTTACTTAAAAAAAAAAAAGAGATTATTATTAAGTTACTTAAATTGTTCATAATTTGTTAAGAAAGTTAAGAATACATGCGCTACATACATTTTAAGTGTATTTAACTCAACATCTAAATCAATATTGGACAAAAATTGAAGTTGGATCAATTGTGATACCACTTTGCGAACTCATTGATCAAGTATTACTGTAGAAGAATCATGATATTTGAGTAGATAATGTTTTACAAATAATAATATTTTATTGTGAAACATATTATATATGCATATAATTTTTCATTAATGGGATAGAGAGCAACATGAAAAATAGCCTGCCTCCACATATTGTAGTAGTATGTTTTTTTATTTTTATATTGTATAATAAAAAATAATTCTTTTCATCTCTTAATTTACTCACCTATATATTATGTGAATCAAAATTAAAATATTTTTTAATAAAAATATTATCACTAAATTACTTAATTCTTTGACATCTTAAAAAAACATGGTAAATGGAGCAGCAGGCCACTTTTTGCAGTTTTATAATAGTGGGTCAGCCTGTTTTTGTTCTATGCTCACCTGAAAGAATCTAAAATGTTTCAACGGAATTTCTCATCTGGCGGTCCTGTTTGTTTTATTGTTCTGTGTTACAAATATTTGGCTTCGACACTCAGCCAGTATTATATCAAAAGATTTCGTCGTCAATCATACACACGGACCCTCTTATATTCATCATAAAATAAAACAATTTTAATGATCTAAGGAAAATTAGAATCATTTCAACATTTTTTCATACCAAAATGGATGAAATTACCAAACATTGGTTGGTACTGTGGTAACCTGTCTTTGAAGGGAAGCAACGCCCACATTCACCTACCTTTCTCCTTTCAGTAAGGGCAGTTGGGGAGAAATCTCTCTTTAGCAAGTATTAACCAAGAACTAACATTCCATAGATTTATGGGCATCAAGAGAAGACCCATTGATGATAAGAGAAACTTCATATATATATATATATATATATATATATATATATATAAATATTTTTTTCCCTTTTTTTTTTTAAGGAAAGAAACTTCAAATAATTGTCGTGGAAAAAAGAAATATCTTAGATTCTTGAGTGAGTCCACTAGAGGATCAATTATATTGTGTAAACTGGACCAACCTGCTTCGTTTTCTTTTTCTTGGTTTTTTATATAAAATATCTGAAGAGTTCTTTTTCAGCCAGGAGGACCAACATTTTTTCAGCCAATCTAGAATTAAGGCCAACAATCACTTTCACAATATATATATATATATGTGTGTGTGTGTGTATATATATATATAAATTAAGGCCAACCATATACAAAAGATAATAAGCAATTTCCTTTTTCTCAAATGCCAAAACCATCTTTTTCTTCTAATTTTCATCATCAGAATGAAGACTTTCTCTGGAAAAGGGAAAAAAAAAAAAGGGTAAAGAGATGGATGGAGAATCTTCAAATTCCATTACCTTTTTCTCATAAAAAGGGGAATTTCAGCTTGCAATACTTTTCCTGGGAGCAAATTTAGGTCAAAAGTTACCAATGAAGATCAATAATGCCTTTTCTATTTATGTTTTCTTAATTACTTGCTCTATTGAGAAGCCTATGGGATCAAACCCATTTCTAAACAACAAAGCTGAGCACAACTTTTTGAATAATCTTATTTTTGACCCGGAAGAGCTTCCTTTAGTTTCTTAAACAAAGAAAGAAGTGTTATCCTAATTAGAATCTGACCTAAGTCTCACAAGAGCTTTCTTCACTTTCTTCATCAGAAAAAGAAAAGCTACCTGCCGAATCAGATTCGCCTACATATAAATCCTCACCTTTGAGGTCGTCCTCAGTTTCTGATAGTTCTTGATTGATGGAATTGGTTCCTGAATCTGAAAGACATTGAGATAAATCCTCATCGACATCTCTTTCAAGCATCTTAAGTTTCCCTGATTCCTGTGGGTGTTTTGTTGGACTGTCCAATATTGAGATGGGATTCCTATCATTTGGATCATCATAAAGTGCGATGTGTCTGTAATACAACTCCAGCTCCTTCTCTGAAACAGCAATGAAGTGCCTCACAGTATCAAGTGATTGCTCATACTTAGACTTTTCAAGTGCCTGCAAAAGGAGAAGAAGTTAGGCAAGTAGTGATTGAAGACCAATTTCTTACAGCGTGGTAAGAATATAAATAAAGAGAGCATAACCACCTTTGGGGTTACCAAACACAATGATAGTAACAATAATCCAAAAGATGCCAACAAATTCTCTTCCCCAATCCCCATAACTCTCTCAACAAAAGCATGTAATAATGAGAAAAGGCACCAGTATTTCGGCAATCAACCACGTGAGTTTATAATTCTGGTACATAAATCAATCTTGTAAAAACTATGCCTATATGGATATGTGTAAGGGTGGTCCAGAGAAACATGGCACTGCAAAATATTTGAGAAGTTGTAGATTAGAATAATCACCTTTTTCTTGGACAATGTATCTATTGGTGACATCACTTCTGGTTGCACATAGTTCTTCCCTCGATAGAAGATTATGGTGTCGTCTCCAATTATTTGAATTGGTAACCCACCACTCAGTCTGGCAATTTCCTCTGCATACTCCTGAATTTGCCCAGGCTTACAAGAATTGCAAATAACTTTAACAGTTTCATGTTTCTTCCAATGCATATGCATATTGAGAATGAGCCCTCCAAATATCCCTCTTCTGCCAACTGGAACATAATTGGACCTTTTCTGTGCCATCTTTTTAACATAGAATCGTTCCTCCCCAGTCAGGTCATGCGGTTCAACCATAGGACCCTGAACCTTAGGAACTTCATATTTCTTAAGCCTTTCAATCAGTAAGGCTTCCTTGATTTTAGCCTGGAGAAAATAGAATAACAAACAAAAGACTAAGAGTTATAATACCTTTAAAGACATAGCTTCAAGTATGCAAATACAATTTGCTACTCTCAGCAACCAAAAACCAGCAAAATCGAGATTCACCAGAATTAACTTCATTTGCTAGAATTCAGAAAACTACAGTTTGTTCGTTAACGAGTCTCTGCAGTGTGCACCTGTGTTAGAGTGTGAGGTTTGAATAAAAGTTTTATCAAGTTCCATAATAAATGATGTTTTTGAAATAAAATAAACAAGAACATCTTTCTTTCTAATTCCACAATGTCATTATTTTTGTCAAAGAAGTAAAGCAATTGCATAGAAAAGACACAACATTGTATAAACAACTACAATCTCATACCAGTCAAGTCATTCAATAACAAGAAGTCTTCAAATATAAACTGACAATGCCCAATTTTCACATAAAGGATTTGAACAAAAACACACTGAGAATGATATAATAGGTTATAGTACAACTATAACAGTCTATATAATTTGATGCACTCATTTATCAAGACCAAGAGTTCTCTTACATCAAACAAATTGTAGTAATTATGTTTTTGGGCTGATTACAAAACCAGTTCATTTGAACTACCCGGAGTTGATGTAATGAACCATTTCTCCTAAACATTATTAGACACAAACCTTGACAATCACAGTATAGTCTTGAACGCTAATAAATACAATTTGTAACAAACTAATAAAAATCAAGGATACTAATGGCATTTATTAGACTCTTAGAAGGCTATATTTTAAATGTGCATGTATGGCTTACTGGCATGTATGTCACTGTTCTTGAAAAATATGCCTTGATATTGATAAAGCATCACTATCAATAGGAAAAAAAAAAATCTAATGAACAGCTAAATTATGCTTACCTTCTCAATCTTGTATTGAAGTCTCTCCCCGGCATTTGCAAATTTCTGCTTCTTCTTCCCCTTGACACGGAGCCAACGTGGGTCCTTTCTATTGGCAGCTTTCCTCTTCTCTTTTTCTCGTTTTCTCAGCAATTTCAGTCTCTTCTTGTTCTTCCACTTCTCCTTCTTAGGAGGATCAACCTCATGAATTTCAAACTTGGGTTTTCCCTGTGATATCACGAGGTTCACCGTACCATGGCTAAAGTTTCTGGAAAGCCATGAAGGGCTTGGTGGAGCTAGAAGTTCTGATTCTGAAGGACATAAAATTGTTGATTTGGTTTGCAAAATTAACCTGGGAGACAGACTAAAAAGCACTGAAGACTATACATATGCAAAAACACCCATATTACTTAAAATTTCAAACTGTTTATATCTTCTCCCTCAAACATGCAGCCATTTACTGAATATGGCCAAACCCAATACCCATCACCCATGGTTAGCTCATAATACAGAATACTCTTCAACTCTCAGTATTCTCTTGTAATTTCAGCAGTAAAGTTATTTGCTTTCCATTTCCATATTCTTCAAGGTGAACAATACACAAACCAGAATCAAAATTTTCCCATTTCATCATAAAAAAAAAAAAAAATTCTTAAGAACCCATGAAAGTTTCTCACAAAAAATTAAACAGAATTGAGTGCTGAATTCAACCAATTGAGCACGAATTAAAGACATAAATATAAATTTTACACTACATAAAAGCGAGATACAGTCATACCCACAAGAACTTAGGTGCTATGAACATGAAAGCATGTAATTTTCAGGTGTTTTTACCTGAAAGAGAAAGGATTTGGAGATGACCGCCTGAGAAATGGAGACGCTCTTCGTAGGCTACAAAACAGAACCTTCGCCATTATTGAACCCAGAGAGAAACGGAAGCTTACACCTTGTGAGAGGAAGCCAGATGGTGTATACGGTAGCGTGCAATCGAACCCGACCCGGAAAAAAGAACGGGGCGGGTAAACGAGTCGCAGTGGCCGGGGCAAGCGGTGATTAAGTGTGGCCGAATACATTGAACGTTCCACTTGTCAAGACCTAATTGGAAAACACTTAAAAGTTTGACTTATTTTTAGTAAAGAATCCAATCTACTATTGCCACGTCAAGCGCACTCGCAGCCCTATAATCTCAAGCCTGAACTCGCACCCTTCTCGGTTTTGCCTGTCTTCAACGCCTGACAGATCGTCAGAGGTACACCACCTTGATTAAGAACAAAATTTCAAAGTAAGTTTATTTAGTTTGAATTTAATCCATTATTCTATTATTACAATTTATCATCTGTTATATTTCTTTGGTTCTTAGGTTTTCAATTTAATACTTTTAGGGAAATTACTGGTTGCATTTGGAGAGAGAAAAGTGGGATGATTTTTTGGGTGTTTCTGTTTCTTACTTTTGAATTTTTGGTCTGTTTGGTTGCCGAGAAAATGTGGGTGAAGGCTAAAAATTTTTAAAGTTTTGATCTTGATGGGTTTTTGTGTAGTCTTTTGGGGTTTTAAAAGATTGGGGGGGTGGGGAGTTCTTGGTTCTTATGTTGCAAACCATTCACAATTGTAGCATTAGGGTTTGGTTCAGCTTTTGCATTTTGGATGGTAGAATCAACGGGTTTCTGGGAAATTGTGATTAGGGTCTGTTTGGCAGCTGAGTAATGTGGGAAAGCTGAGGAGGAAAGAAGCATATTTCATATTGAGGTTGTGCTCACCCTAGACTAGAAGTTTGTTACTTTTTGCTCAGGTTTCTTGCAATTTGAAAAAGACTCGGATTTGATTTGAAGGCCATTTGTTAAGTAGTTTATTCTGTTATTTGCTGTGTTTAAGTTCATGAGGATTATGGTAGAGATTCTAGACAATGTAGCAAACCCTCTTTTTTTATCTTGGATTTGGATTTATTCCTTCATTATGGAAAGCTGGAGGAAAAGAAGTAAAAAATGGAAAAATCAACAATTGTATCTTTTGTTGTTGCAGTGTGTGATTCCTGAAAAATGATTAAGAAAATTGAGTCACTCCAGGTTGTAAATTTAGCCAGTCGAATGCTTCAAGCTCGTATGGACCTAAAAAATGGAAAAACTTTAAATGTTTCTCTTATGCTTCTCTCTTTGTTTTCTTGCAACGACTGAAAACAAATGACTTTTCCATTGCAGTGGATTTTGGGGTTCATGGCGATGTTAATGGTGGATCAGTGGATTCTGTTCGAGGAGTAGAGGCTGAAAACATGAGTCATGAAAATGAGATGGGAGGAAATTCTGTCGAAGGGGATTTCCAACTGGCCCATGATAAAATTGATCAAGATTCTTCAGAAGAAGAAGGAATCCCACAGGGTGTTCCAGCACATTCGATGGTCAATGAAGATGAGCCTTATGTGGGAATGGAGTTTGAATCCGAGGCAGCAGCTCATGCATTTTACAATGCTTATGCCACAAGGGTGGGATTCGTCATTCGTGTAAGCAAACTTTCACGGTCAAGACGTGATGGTTCTGCCATTGGAAGGGCACTTGTCTGTAACAAAGAGGGTTTCAGATTGCCTGACAAGCGTGAGAAAATTGTGAGACAAAGGGCAGAGACCAGGGTTGGTTGTAGGGCAATGATATTGGTGAGGAAAGTAAGCACTGGTAAATGGGTTGTTACAAAGCTCGTCAAGGAGCACACTCATCCTTTGACACCTGGAAAAGGTCGAAGGGATTGCATTTATGAGCAATATCCGGTCAGTTATGCTCAGCTACATTATATATCATATTTTCCTCTAGTCTGTTAGTTTATTTTTTAAGAAGCAGTACCTGGATAACATTTAGATGTTTTCGTAGACATTTATCTTTTATTTGAATTTTTGGCATGTGATTTAAAGGAAGGGCTTTTAAAACATTAATCGATGTTCTTTATGAGAACAGGTAAATGAAAATGGATGCAAAACATTTTCCTCCACCTCGGTTATCAACCAACAAAAAGGAAAAAGGAAGGAAAGAGTATCAGTTTGAACCTATATGTGACAAACTTTAATCACCTTAGCAGTTTGACATGGGGGATTAAAGGGTTGCTTTAATTGCTGTGATTTCCTTACCAAGAAGAAGGGCCAGAAGTGGAAGGCCAACATCTTAAATTTAATAATCTTTAGTTTCAGATGAGTATGCATCTATTTGATGAGGAAAAGCACTCTTTTGATGTTGTAGGTGCTTAACATATTTGATTTTGTTATGAAATTGTTGCATAAATTTCCCTGGTTAGAGTTTTTAAAGTGAATGATTGATGAAAATTATGATCTGAAGATATTATTATGTCCTCTTCTAAGATTTAGATTTTTTCTTTTTTCTTTTTTCTTTTTTTTTTGGTTCATAAAGCTTGATAAGGAGTAGAAAACAAATATCTGATTGTCTTGTTTCTGCACTAAGCAATAATTTATGGGCAATTAAGAAGCTTGAGTGCAGCTTGAAAAAGAGAAGTTATAGAAGTAAAGCTTGACTCATTAAGCAAAATAAATTTGATCCCAGCATCCAGCTTAAGCTTCACTACATTTAATGTCAAATTTTAATTATAATTTTTTAAGTTCTATCTATCTCTCGTGTTTTTGCAGAATGAACACGACAAGATTCGTGAACTGACTCAACAGCTGGCTGTTGAGAAGAAGAAGGCTGCCACTTACAAAAGACATCTGGAGTTGCTCTTTGAGCAAATTGATGAGCACAATGAAAGCTTGTCAAAAAAGGTACAGCACATTGTAGATAGTGTGCGGCAGATGGAGAACAACGATCAGCAGAGCCATATATAGTTTTTTTCCCATTTTTTTCTTATTGAAATACAGGGTCTGGAACTGGTATAGTAAGATGAAGAGCGCAATTTTATGCATTTGATTTGTTTCCTTTTAGTCTATAGATATGACATGTTGATTTTCCTTTAGCTTTTTCAACATAAACTAGTTAGCTCCATGGGGTGGAAACTTGTGTATGCCATTCACTGGAAATTTAGGGTTCATGGTTGGTAGGATAAACCAGACGAGTTGATGTACAGTATTTCAAGCCCATCCGATGCAGTTGCACCCTTAATGCTGGCGTCTGGGATGTTTACTGGGCTGGAAGATTTATGTATAACACTTTTTAGTTTAAAGAATTTTTTTGGAAAGGTTTTGTTTATGTTCTGCTTGTTTGAACTTTATTACCATTTCAGTACTAAAGTCTATTTAACTATTTGTATGTAATTGTTTGTTTAGGTTGGCATTTTTGCATTCTGCTTCCAGTAAAGAAGAATTATCTTATGTTGTAAATTTGTAAAATAAATCGAGTCAAGCTGACTATTAATTCACTCCAGCTTGTGCTTGAGTTTTACTAATACTAACATATTTGAGCTTGAGCTTAACTCGTAAACTTCTTATAACGAAGAGATAACAGATATGGAATCCATAGACCTCCTCAGTTCAATCTATATATTTTCAGTTTTAGAAAAAAAAAATATTACTATCTTTTTATTTTTTTTTATATAATTTAACGTGTTATTAAAATGATTAATTTTTTTAATTTATATGAAACTTGTGATATTAAATATATTCACTTATTTAATAACGAGGAATTGTATAAAAAAGTGGTACGAATAGGAAAAAAAAAGTTTTTTCCATTGATTTTGTGGTTTTTTGCTGACGTGTGAAGATACTATTGGCTGACTGAGTCTCTAAGCAAGTAAAATGTCAACTGTAAGATACAAACTAAACCAAAACCCTACTGTTCTGCTCTCTCACTCCCCGTTACTTCTTTGGCTATCGGCTCCGCTGCTGGCCGCCGGTTCTCTCCTCTTCAGCTCCGTCTTGCGCTAGCTGTTATCGACAGGTACTCTCTTTCACACCAAGTCTACATAGATACATGGTGGATAATTCGCTAAAACAATTGATTCCACCGTTGGTAGGCGGGAAATCTGTCTGAAAGATGAAGAAGATGATAGCTCTTGGTTTCGAGGGATCGGCGAACAAGATTGGGGTCGGGGTCGTGACCTTAGACGGCAACATACTATCAAATCCACGACACACATACATTACGCCGCCGGGACAAGGATTCCTTCCCCGAGAAACCGCACAGCACCACTTCCAGCATGTGCTTCCACTAGTTAAAGAAGCTTTAAAGACAGCGCAGATAACCCCAGACGAAATTGACTGCCTTTGTTACACCAAGGGTCCCGGCATGGGAGCCCCACTTCAAGTTTCTGCAATTGTTGTGCGGGTTCTTTCCCAGTTGTGGAAAAAGCCGATTGTTGCAGTTAACCATTGCGTTGCTCATATTGAGATGGGGAGGATTGTGACTGGGGCAGATGACCCTGTTGTGTTGTATGTCAGCGGTGGGAATACGCAGGTGATTGCTTATAGTGAAGGGCGATATCGAATCTTTGGGGAGACTATCGATATTGCTGTTGGGAATTGCTTGGATAGGTTTGCTAGGGTGTTAAAGCTCTCCAATGATCCTAGCCCTGGATATAACATTGAGCAGGTTCGTAAGTCTCAAATTCCGTCCTTTTTGTTTGCAGTATTTAGCTTTGTTTGTTTTGATTGACATTTACCTTCTTTGAATTTGAATTGATTTGGGGATTTACAGGTATCAAATTGTTGTATATGGAAATTTTGAAGATATTTTTGAATCAACTGAAGAAGTGTCAAATGAATCAAGTGATATGATTGATGATGTTAGACTCTGATAGTTAAATTTGGAGCTTTGTGCTAAATACTGTTAATTGAAAATTTGAAATGAGTATAATTCTGATGATTTACTATTTCCCATTTTGTGCAAGTGTTAATAAGCAACATCCCGATGTGTATATGATAAGAACCGAAATGAGGCAAACTTTGTTTTTTTACTTGTTCCTAACTTTCTATTTCAGCTGCTGAAAAGTTTTGTAAGTTAGTTCGCAATATTGTTTTGTTATTGACCAGAATGCTTCCAACATCGTGAACCATTACACTATTGTATCATGGTTAACTGGAAACCTACAGATGGTTCAATGTTTAGAAAGTAAAATGCTTTAATCTATTATCGGTTTATTTTCGTAATATTTTAGAGCTTGACAAAATAAACCAGTTTTATTCACTCTGATTTCATCCATTTCATGTTGCGCGTATTGTTAAATTCAGTTTGATTATTTTCTGTCATCACTGTTCTGGTCTATTCTTTTCACATATCAGTCATCCACAAGTTGTTATTACAGCAAGACTCAAGAGAGTGAAGACGTTTAGCAATGTGTGGTAGATTTATTTAACTTCTACGTCTTCTTGTTCTTTTTTTATCAGCAATGGAAGTTTAACTTCCTTCTATATACAGTATCTCTGTCACTTTTGTTACAGATCGTGTTAAGAAGGCATTTCCATTCTAGATGACTGATACATCTTTCTCCTTCAACAGCTTGCGAAGAAGGGAGAACAATTCATTGAGCTTCCATATGTTGTCAAAGGGATGGATGTTTCCTTCAGTGGAATTCTGAGTTACATTGAAGCAACTGCTGAAGAGAAGCTCAAAAATAATGAGTGCACCCCTGCAGATTTGTGCTACTCCCTTCAGGTGAGTTATATATCTCCTTTCGAAGCAATTCATCTAGTTTTTGCTCATTCTCTTTATTAGAAAAGATATTGCTTCTTTCATTCTGCCATGTTAATGATTTCCACATTAAATTGTATTCCTAGGAAACGTTGTATGCAATGCTTGTGGAAATTACAGAACGGGCAATGGCACATTGTGACAAGAAAGATGTTCTTATGGTTGGTGGCGTTGGTTGCAATGAGCGTTTGCAAGAGATGATGAGGACAATGTGTTCCGAGCGAGGTGGAAGGTTGTTTGCCACTGATGACCGATACTGCGTTGACAATGGAGCAATGATAGCATATACTGGTCTGCTTGAGTTCGCTCACGGCTCAACAACCCCACTTGAAGAGTCCACGTTCACTCAACGTTTCCGGACTGATGAGGTGCACGCTATCTGGAGAGAAAAGGAGTCTCTGAAAGAGAAGTGAGCCAAAAGAATAGGATCTAATTCACCCCAATACTATTGAAAATGTAACAGAATATATGTATTGATCATACTGAGTATGTTGTTTTATCTTTCTATGCTTGTACTGATAGGCGTACAACAATTGAACAGTTGTATCTGATTACCAATTATCACTCTCATGTTGGTTTTATCATATATCCAATCAAGGAAAGATGTCTTTAAAGAATCAATAAAATTTTTTTTTTTTTGAACAATTGATCATGGCGCAGGTCGAACCCACGCTAGGGAGGGATGCACCTTTCATTGTGGCAGTTACTTCACTTCTCATGTCTCACTCTTCTTGGGTTTTCTCTTTTTTGCACTTATTTTTTAGTAAAAGCATCCAATAAGGACACTAACTTTCTCTCGTTTGTGCAATTGAAGACATCATTTTCTATCGGTAGCAAGTAAAATCACTATCCACGTAGTAAATAAGAAAAAATTTGATTATGCTTTTTCGACATTCTCTTAAAAAAGGGAACAAAGCATGCCAAGTGTATCCATTGGAGTAATTTGAAAAAGAGAATCAATCTCTCTATATTTAACTTAATTCTCTTAAAAAAATTTAGAAAAGTTTACACTACTTAACATAATGTCAGACAATATAATTTTTAGTGTTAGTCATTGAATATAATTCATCCAATGGGCTACATTTTTTTTATTTAATTTTTTTCATTTCAAATTTTTTAATTTAAATATTTAATTGTAAATTGAAAAAAAAATAATGTTAGTATGATTTTTTTTTTTAAATCATATTTAACTATATGTATGAAAAATATAGTGTTAGATTAGATGTTGTATTTACAAGTTATATATATAAAAATGTGAATTCGAAAAAAATTACATCAATAGTAAGAACATGATATTCAAATAATTTTTTTTGTTATTCCCATTATACATGCTATTAGGACTCACCAACGTAAAACTTTTTTATTTTGAAAATCAATATGAAATTATCAATGAATTTGACATTTTCGTTAAATACTCACTTGAGAGAGGAGGCCCTATCCATCTCTTGTAAAATTGGTCTTTAAAACTTTTTAATTTTTTAAAGTTGAGAGAGAAGCGTAACACAGATAAAAGAGAAGAGAAGAAAGAACGGCAAAGACATTTCACAGTCTCTGCAATTTCTACTACCACTGGGTTAATTTGGACATGGCTACTTCTTTGCTTTTTCATTGATCAACGAACGTTCCAATACTCATTCAACGCAATCAGCTTTTTCTCTTTTAGGATCTCTTTGTTTAATAAGGTTGACTTAAATCTTCTACTCCTCAAGCAGTTAGAAGGAAATCCAGAAATTATAAGCAGAGAAAACCTTTATTCCAATTTCCCAGTACACTACTGGTGGTGAAAATGGAGTTATAACAACCCCTTATGCCAGACAAGTTACAATCTAAAGATACCATAAATGAAGTTGCACAATCAGAGAAAGGAAAACTACCAACAACCCTCAAAATCTAAGAGTCTAATCTAAATCCAGTGAGGACTTTAGCAACACCAGAGTCAACAGAAACTCCATTACGAAAGCAAATAAAACACACACAACCATAAATGGTAGGAAACCCTACAGAAGAAACAAATCCTACCATATAATGTCAACCTTGATGGTCAGTTCACAAACTGATCACTGATCAACCTCTGCTTCTGGGGTTTCGAGCTGGGCTTGCTCTTTCTCGGCTTCTTCCACCTCCTTCTCAGTCTTCCTTCCTTTCTTCGACTTGTAGTACACACTCATGAAGGTTCCTACTGCTCCATATTTGTTACGGCACTTCTCGTAGAGCCCAGCGTCGAACATCCTCCAGAATTTCTTCTCGCTCAGCTCAGATACAGTATATTGTGGTTGGAAGCCATGGTTTTCAATCAACCAGTTCTCCATTTGACGAACGGCCTCTGCACCATCAAAAACCTCACCCCTCAAGACAGGGCCTGGAGCATAGTACACTCCAATATCTGTATACATCTGAGCATAATGAGTGTCACCCTGTCTGTGATGATGTTCAAAGCCTGGCTCAGGATACACCATGGTCTTGACAGGAAGCTTGAACAGCCTGTGCGGACAGAGCCAAATAGGATAGACCTGAAGAATCAATAATAAACTCTGTTAGAATGTTGACCTATAAATCCTTGTAGATTTCAATATTGAAGATTCTCCAATATATAGCACAAGACAACATTTCCCTTCCTACACGCACACCCATCTGAGGCTTCAAATATCTAATGGAAGCTCCTGCAGACAAAAATATTAAGCGACAGCTCTAATTTGCCTTCCAAATCATGCTATATGGGTTATGCAATGTTTCTTTTCCATTTCACCAAAGTCCAACCCCAAACTAGTCCCACCCTGGAGGGAGATAAAAATCTCCTGAAAGATGTGAGCAGAGGTAGCTCTTACTTTTGACGAGGTAAAGAACCAATTTTAATCATGTATACAACAAAACCCTTTTTCCCTAACCGCCGAACCTTTCTCTAAAACATGCAGAAGTTTGTTACTTTTATTTGTCATTTAAACTATCATTACAAATAGATGCCCCAAGAAAACAAATTGTTAAGTAGAACTAGATGATATTAATGATAGAAACAAGAATATTTGGTAAAGCAAAGAAGAAGCCAGGTATGATAGAAAAACAAAGTTACCTCCATCTCCCGATGGACCCACTCCAAGGCATCCCCAACCTTATAAAGAGGAATAAGCATGTCCTGAATGACATGCATCTCATGGTAATAGTCTCTGATGGCTTCACCTTGAGTAGCCTTGAGCAAGGAAACCTTGGGAGGCATCAGCCAGCCAAAGAGAAACCTAAACCACCATTGATCTGCAAAGGGAAGGATGAGCTTCCCCTCCCAGTACAAACATCTTGTGTGCCTATGGTAATACTCCCTGGTTGGAATGTATTCAACAAACTCCCCCTTCTTTAGTGCTTTCTGTGCATGCTGATAGAACCAGGTTTTATACCACCAACCAACTTCATTAATAACATTTCCCTTCTTCTTGGCCTCTTCTTTTGAGGCATATGTCCCAGTCATGAACACACCTTCAGTAGGCGTGTAAATCATGGCTTCTACAAAATCTGGAACCTTCTCTGGATTATCCTGATCTCCATCTCTAGGTGCAAAAGAGTCTGCATAAGCTTGTGCCAGCTGTTTTAGATTGCCCCTTACAGGTTTGTAGGTCAACTTCATGTATTCTTTGACTGGTATAAGTTTGATCTCAGCAGCAACAAGAAGTCCTAGTGTCCCTTGAGACCATGGGATAGCATAAAAGAGATCAGAATATTGATTGTCCTTAGTAGCTCTGACAAGTTGGCCATCTGCCAGAATGATCTCATAAGCCACCACTGTATCAGAAAATAAACCATAGATGTGGGAACTTCCTTCAATCCCATAGCCATTAATAAGTCCACCAACAGTAAGATCATCAAGCTCAGCAACCACTGCAAGGGAAAGATTCATTGGGACAGTGGCCCTAGAAATCTGCCCCATGTTAACAAGTGGCTCAACCCTAGCAATCATTCTCTCTTTATCAATTTCAAGGATATTGCGAAAAGCAGATAAGTCAACTTCAAAATGGCGAGCCCTCTTATAATCTACATTTCGCATTCCAACCGCAATCCATGGTTTACGAGCTGTGCAGACAAGACCATCCTTTGATCGGTCCCTCTTTTTCAGGCGCTTCACTACTTTCTTAACATTTTCATCATGTTCCTTCTGACGCTGCTTGTAGGACTTCATCTCAGATCTAACATCTCCAAGATATGTGAGGAAATAAAAGGTGAAGGATATAGGAAGAACAACAAAAATAACAATTATCCATCGGAACTGGACCAGGAAGTCCACCAAGCCCATTTTCCTCTTCAGGCGCGGTGGGTTCAAAGGTGCTCGAAGATCCGACATTGCCACAGGTGAAGATGCTAGTTTTCTACTGTGACAAAAATGATAAAAATGTTGAGTTTGTAAGAGCTGTCTTAATAGGCATCCACATTTTAGGATTTCCAAACTTTGAGGGACCAAACTATCTCAAAACAAATAAGAAAAATGTAACTGATAAACATGTTAATGTGTAATATATGGTACTCAATGATGTATAAGGGTAGCAAAATGCAGGGTTTAAATACCTAGAGCCCCACGCTAATTACGTCTACAAGGATGTAATAAACTATGTGCAACCTGAAGACATGATTCCATCTTGTATATTGTCAAACGATACCCAAAACCATGTTTCTGGGCAAATATTTGTCATGAATCATGACCGGTCAAAAAATCTTATTGACAATCACTGAGAAATCAAATGCTGACAACAAGGATATAGATCTACAATGGAAATGTTCCTTCAGTGATTCAGTCAAAAACAAAAAAATCAATTTAGCATCTCCAGCTAATCTTGCGCAAAGCAGAAAACACATGCAAAACTTCATAATCAGATCTATACTATTTTTCTTACTGACATGCACTTGAACACCAATATCTTCAAATAGAGGGTGCAGAAAATTCCCAATCTTAGCAGTTTTACGAAAAAATCAAGACACTGGTCGATAAGATCTTCAAGAAGTGATGAAAAGGACAGCATTCAGTACCATAGTTCTTCAGTCAGAACTCAATAGTTCTTCAAGTATTGATGTAAAGGACAGCATGCAGTACCATACTTCTTCATTCAGAACTCAACAGTTAGAAATTTACAGGGAGAAAATACAAGCTAAATCATAGAACAAGTCCAATATTACCTCCCAAATTATAGATCTCGATCTAGTGAAATGAAATTGACAGACTAATAGAAAACTCTCAAAATTTGCTTGTTTGTCATTCAAGAAAATGCAGGAATCCATGAAACCTTATCTTTCACTTAAATCGAAGCCAATGACCTCATCACTTACGTTGAAATTTCAAATAACACGACAAAGCAGCACAGAGAAATAGAGAAGCATAGAAATGGAAAATCAGTTCCGTTTCAGTTCATTCGATTTTCTCGGCAGCCAAACAGGCGGTTAAAAGCCAAAAAAAAATTGCGAACAAGCACAGCAGAAACCAACGAACACAGACGAAAACACCAGACATCATAAAGAGAAATAGAGCCGGAGAGGTTACCTGAAGCTGGAATTCTAGAGATCGGATTCGGAACCTTGAGCTCCGAAGGGCAGCATGCAGCAGTCGAGCGTCCGAGGCTGTCGGATGTATAGCAGTAACTAGTGAGGCAACAAGTGTGGTTCTCCCTGTTATCTATTTATTTATTTATTTTTCGAAAATGATATGCGCTTTTTTTTTTTTTATCTTAATTACATAATCATCTTTCGTCTTTTATCTTATTCTACTTTCATCTTTGAGTTATTTACGTTGTTTATGAAAATAATATACTTAAACATTATAATTTGTCTTTCACGTGATTTATTTATAAAAAAAAA